GATGCTACCAGTAGACGGGGTACTGTCCGCTCGATATATTATTATGTATTTTTTTTTTATTTTAGGTTAAACTCGTAGAGTTCTTATATCAAGAGTTTAAGATAGATTAATAAATAAAGTATAGATTCAAAGAATAACTAGTGAATGTTATTGATTTAAATCTATACTAACCACATAGATGTTAAACTGAACGAGTTTGTTCTGGAACCCCCTTTATAACATCACTCTTATAGTTCGATTGAACTGCGTTTTAATTAATATTCAAACTCTATCCGAAGTATATCGTTAGAAAATATATTACTAAGAGAAATTGGAAAGCAATTAGTCTACTATGAGCACGCTAAGACTACATCTAACATAATAAAATTTGATAAACATTGAGTATAAATTCTTTATGATAATGAATTCATATTTTTAATTAAAAATGGCTACGCCATAATGGCGTTCATAATTTTTTAATTTAAGATATGAATATGAAAAATATAGGTTTAGTAAATACAAGAACATATTAAATTAAATGATTTTAGATGAGAAACACCGAATCCTGAAGTTATTATGAACATTTAATTTCGAAGTTATCATGAGTATAAAAATGCTATACACGAACCGTTTGCGTGCGCCCCGAAAAGGTTATATTTTATTTAGTTACTGACTAATCACACTAATATTGTAAATACGAAAGTTTACGCGTATGTGTATCTGTGTGTATGTTTGTTACTTCTTCACGCTAAAACTCCTGGACAGATTTGACTGAGATTTAGTACACAAATAGAATATGATCTAATAATAACCTAATAGAATAGACTCCTTTTACAGCGTCAAAATACCTTATCTCCAGGAGTCTCATCTCGATTATAAAACGTACTAATATAGCTGTAAGTGCAAATTGTTACTAACATCTTTGAGTCTTAGTTCCTCCAATAAATAATTTTTTTATTATTTATTTTTCTTTCAGACTACAAAACTACTTCATTTAAAATTTTCGTGGCCCTACATTGGTTGAGAGCTACGTACTGGCGTACAACCGGAAGACTGAGCGATCGTAGTTAGATAAACAGTTTGTTTTCGGCCTGAGTTATGTGCTAAATTGTATCATAAATAACTATGTCTGTACCCTTTGTATCTATACCACATACAGCTGCTCTCTGTTCGTTTCATTTGTTGAAAACGTTTGAAAGTTATGTAAACTATATTTGGCTAAAAATGTTGTTTGTTTTATTTTAGATTTAGAAAGAAAATTGCAGTATGATTCTCGTCGACATCAGAGCTTTCTGTGTTAAGAAGTACAGATACAAAATAGAAGAAGGTGTGTGTACCGAGTTGCAGTGAAATTACTGTCAACACTAGATTTTGAATAAACACCTTTACAAAGCCAAAGGTGTCGGCACCGACCGATGTTCCATTATGATCATGATAGTGTTATTTTGTTATGTTAACGTGATCAATCGTGAGTGATATATATTTATGCAGTACTAATAAAAAAAAAAAAAAATCTACCACATTCACACAACGCCATCTAGTCCCAAACTAAGCAGAGCTTGTACCATGGGTACTAGACAACTGATATAAATACATATATACTTTTTTTATTGTAAATACATACTTATTATACATAGAAACACCAAGACCAAATCAAACATTAAATGCTCATGCACACAAATGTTTGACTTGAGCGGGCATCGAACCCGCGACCTTTGGAACAGCAGTCCGTTACACAAACCACTACGCCATCCGGTCGTCTACTAAAATAGTGCAGTTTAAAATGTAAGTTGAGAAAAAACATTATTATATGTTACACAGTGTTCTCTACGAACAGGCTTAGCAAGGTTTAGACCATGGTTTCTGAAATATATATAGGGATAAATATACATAGACTAAGTAAATCCCGACATAATTATTACAAAGAAGAACACCCAAATCTATGAATCTCATGGGTGTGAATAGAAATATTGAACTCGCGTACTTTCCAGTCGAAGTCGTGATTTATGTGTCACTGTCATCGCACCTCAGAGTTACGTTTACTTTCTTTTCGAGCCCACTGGTCACCTGATGGTGAGTAATAACGTCATCCATAGATTTCTGGAACTTAAGAAATACAAATGCGAGCACTCTTGACGTGCACGTTCCCCCAAAATTAGAAGGCGGGGTTTCGCCCCCGGTAACCTCACTCAATTGCTGTAAAGCAAAGAAATACTTATTACCTAAACACCTATTTCCTGTGATGCGTCGTATGACTCGACCTGGTCAATTTTTTTGGTATAGTATGGGGGGTCAAACAAGCAGACTGGTCAGCTGATAATAAGTGACTGTCACCGCCCGTGAATATCTGCACCTCAAGAGTCACAAGTGAGAAAGTTAGAAAATTTATTGGCACATGCAAAATTCCATACAAAAAGTGCCAATAGTTCTGCAGTAGTGTAGCTCTGCATATGGGCATAGGTGCCTTTCAACGCTAATTTTCAGGTGCAGCAAAGGTCATACAGCTTTAAACTACATTTAAACTGCCGATGTTCAAATTATTTTAGTCCTGCAAAAGAGAGCGATTCGATCAATTTACAATCTAGGCGATCGTTGTTCATTGAAGCAGAAATTAAAAAAAATATATAATGACAGTGGCATGTCAATAAATATGTGAAAATATAGTATATATTCCTAAAAACAAAGAGAGTTTCTTGAAAAGTGATGTACCTATTTTATATATCGGAAATAGAAATAAAGTTGTTATACCTGCCTCTAGCCTCAAAAAGATTAACAAGTACAATGCAATACTTTTACAATTATTATCCCATTACTTATTCACTTAGCACAGACTATTTCTTAAGTTTTAAATGTAATGTGGGCTAGTGTGTTTTTTATTTATTTTTCAATTTTTTTATGTGTTACGACACTTTTAATTCTATTCCATCGTTTTTCTTTATCACGTTTTCTCTTCATTGCTGTTGTTCAATGTTTTGATATATTTAATGATGCGACTGTATCTAGCTGTAATTGAAAAAAATTGGTAGTGAGTTTATTTGTCCTTTCTTCTCATAAGGCTTAACTCCTTGGAAACGGTCGGATGTAGATCAGTACAGACATATAATGGATTAACTTCATTTTTCTAAACAGATTGTTGCTATTGTGTGTGTTGATCTATAACTTTAGATTCTAAGACGATTCCAAATAATTTGTAATTTTTTTTTATGTAATAAAGATATTTTGAATTTGAGTTTCATGTTAGAAACCCTTTAAGCCCCTTTTTCTAAAACTAGGGAGGTGGGTTTTGGGCTCTGAAAACTTTACTTTGCACTCACTCAGTGCTAAGAAACAAAAGAAAGGCTAAACACTAGATTTCTGTGAGGGTTTGATCTCACTCCGGTCGAGCTAGCCCATTTGTGTCTAAACATGGCTTTTGTATGTCCAAGTACAGCTCAGTTAATGTTTTATTTTAGCCGTGCGAAAGCAACTTAATAATTGTTTAACACAAGTTTTCTTCTATATTAGCTGGCTTTGTGTATTACATTCGTAATGAACTAATCTAATTAATATAATATTTCGGCAATATAACACACAACGCCATCTAGTTTCAAACTAAGCAACGCTTGGTTTACAAAAGCTAGATTGACTGATAGAATACTTTTTTTTTTGTAAATATATATTATACATAGAAAACACTCTGAATCAAATATTTGCAGAGCAGACAAATATTTGGTCCTTCCCGGGAATCGAACCCGAATCCTCAGAACAGCAGTTGCATACGCTACCACTGTGCCACCGAGGCTGAATTATTGTAAGCTATATGAAAGATATATATAAATGCACAAACTCACACGCAAACTGCATCTGAGTACTCAATTTAGAATCAAACAATAGTTGTTTTTGAAAATAATTTCTTTTACATTTTCCATTGATATTTAGTGAAACAGACGTAAAAAAGAGAATGAAATAAGCGAATTTCCTATTGCGTAAGGACCCAGAGTTGCGTGAAGAGCTAGTTATGTCATAAATAAGAAGGCATCCTTTTGTATCTGGTTTTATTTATAGATCTAATCTTAATGTAGATTACGACACCATAATTTATTATTCCTCCTCGAATGCTCCTGTATTAAATTAGTTTATTACAAGCTATTTATTTCGTCTATCTTAATAAAGAAATGGAAATTCAATGGTTGTGTTACAGAGTATTTAAAACCGTGTTGTAAAACTGTTAATGAAAATGCAAATAAAACAATATACAATAAGTTAACAGAATATTTTATCTCGTTGAAAGAACATTAAAATCAAAGTGAATTTTCTCCTTCTGTGCTTTGAACTGACGCTGAAAATAAAATATTTCCTTTTAACAAACTAAATATTATTATACTACACAGGAGTACTTTATTCTTAGATATAATATGGTGTTTTGCTCACAAGGCTTTTGTAAGGAACATAGTGTAGTAAAACAATTCACGCCACCACATTTTACTGACTCAGAGAATAATATATGTAACGAGGATCTATATAAAGAAACTAGCTGACCCGGCCACGCGTTGCTGTGGCTAAAGTTTTTGTTATATTACATTATAGTAAACAATCTAAGAGCAACAATAAGAGAACATCAGTCACGGAGTCCACTATGCTTTTTCACACAGATGGTATTTGTAAAAAAATATGGTGATCTCCTTATTTGACTTTCTACTACTATAACCCTTTAGTACAATGAAATTATTTACGAACAAAGACGAAAATGTTGATGTTGGTATACAAATTCACTGGATTGAGATTTGAAGGGGAAGTACATTGAACACAATTAATTAAAATGTTCTTACACTTGATATTAAGCAGAAATCAATAGGTACAAAATAAAAATTTATCAGATTTATTATTTCCATTTAATTTTATAACAAATATAAGTATATTACAGTATAATACAGTAAATAACATGTAACGCTTAAACTCATGAATGAGGTAGGCAAAGCATAGTCTTAAACTTTTAAACATTAATATCTATTTTTTTGAATTATAATACTTTCAATTTCAATTCAATGTAACACCAATTGGTGCACAATGTTTTTGGTTAACCTGTCTTTAGCTAACACAAATAGATTCGACGGTTTCCCAACACGTGAACACGCAACATATAGTTGCCCATGAGAAAAACATGGATTTTCCAAATCTAAACCACAAATGGACATTGTTTGACCTTGAGATTTATTTATAGACATGGCGAAAGCTAAACGAATTGGAAACTGTAGCCTTTTGAAGGGTATGGTAGAATCTGATGGTATCATCGGAATACGTGGCAGCAGGACCACTTTTCCTTTAAACTTCCCAGCCAAAATGGTTGCTTCAAGAATGTTTCCGGTGATCTTTTTGATGACCAAACGCGTACCGTTACATAATTGAGGTGGATTCAAATTACGGAGGAGAATAATAGGGGAACCAATCTTTAATCGAAGATTATGTGGTGGCATTCCAGGGATATCTAATGAATTTAAAAATTCAATCGGAAAATTTACACTTTCATTTTCATCAACAACAGTATCGATTCATTTAAAAGACATCAGATCGCCTGGTAACAACTGTTGTATCTGGAAGTTAATTTCGTCAACATCAACGTTTTTGGCTGCCAAAATCGCCCGTTGACTAAGCCATTCATGATTCAAATAATTTTTCTGTATATCCGGGAAAATACTCTGAATCAATTCATTTTTATCCTGAACAACAGTGCAAAAATTGTCTGGTAGTTTAATGCATTGCGTATTTGGTTGCAGTTCTATTTTACCGTTCCCAATATCTAGTAGTTGTTTGGAAAATATTTGTGCTGATGGATCATTTTGCAATTGTACTCGCATATTTATGGTCAATCGAAGTGTTTCAACACTTCGCCATAAGAATGATTGTTTCAAACATGCATTTTGAGGTTAGATTTTTTCGGTGGCATTTGACTGAAAATAATAATTTAATCGTTTAAATATTAGAAAGAGGAACTGAAAAACATGTTATCATAGCACATTGAAATAATAAGTGCAAAATAATTTTCAATGGAGGTTAAATAAAAATAATATAAATTTTTTTGTACAATTATTGAAAAAGTGTGGGGAGCTTTGTGCCCTTTTTTCATTGATATATTAATTAACTTTTATAAAACTATGTGATATTACTTACATGTATAAATTGAAATTATTGTTCCTGTGCTCCTACTGTGGCTATGTCTCGTTCTCCTGCTGCTCTTGTTCTTTTATTATATGAATTCAATTTACACTTCAGTCTAAGTAACACGTGGCCGGCTATGCTAACACCAAAAATTTAAAAAGTGGAAATAATTGAATTATACGGTATTTCGTTCACTACAAAATAAATTTAATTAATTTTATAGCGTCAACAACACGTGGTAATTATGCTGTTAAAATGTAGCTTATATGACACGTTCGTAGATTTACCATAGCAGCGCCATCTATTGATTACTTACTCAACCCAGTCGAAAGGTATCGACATACACCAAAAATTTAAAAAGCGGAAATAATTGAATTATACGGTATTTCGTTCACTACAAAATAAATTTAATTAATTTTATAGCGTCAACAACACGTGGTAATTATGCTGTTAAAATATAGCTTATATGACACGTTCGTAGATTTACCATAGCAGCGCCATCTATTGATTACTTACTCAACCCAGTCGAAAGGTATCGACATACACCAAAAATTTAAAAAGCGGAAATAATTGAATTATACGGTATTTCGTTCACTACAAAATAAATTTAATTAATTTTATAGCGTCAACAACACGTGGTAATTATGCTGTTAAAATATAGCTTATATGACACGTTCGTAGATTTACCATAGCAGCGCCATCTATTGATTACTTACTCAACCCAGTCGAAAGGTATCGACATCTGTTAGAAGCATTTGGAGTTAACAGATAATTGTGACTGTCAAATAATAACAGACAAATAATTAGCAATAAATTAAAATTGCGACTATAATTTGAGATTTAAACTATCCTATCTCTCAAGTTGGATCGAACTGCACATGGTGTGCGAATTTTATTATAATCGGTTAAGTGGTTTAGGAGTCCATTGAGGACAAACATTGTGACACGAGATTTATATATATTAAGATTTCAATACAACTGTGATGATTTTAATTGACTGTAAATGACTTAAGTTTCCAGTGGTATTTTTTTTAATTTTTAATAGGACCATACTAGAAATATGCGCAACCAGAAGTATTTTCCAATTTGGTTCATAAATTTTGAAGTTCTGAGATACAAATTGACGTCGTCCGAACTTCCTGCCTTTTGCATTCGGTGCAAAATTATAAATATATTTTATGAGTTGTTCCACTAATAATATATATTTTATCATCATCATCATCATCCACCGCTGAACATAGGTCTCTCCCATTGCACGCCACTTCAATCGATTTTTGGTTTCTCGCATCCAACTCCTACCAGACATCTTGGGCCAATCTTCACTCCACCTGGCCTGTGGGCGTCCTACACTACGTTTGCCTAGACGCAGTCTCCATTCAAGAACTCGTTTACCCCGTTTACTCGATTATTGGTTCTGCGGCTAATATGGCCAGCCCACTGCCACTTCAACTTGATAATCCGGTAGTAGCCTACGGGTCGATGATCTTGGTTCTCTATTATATCTATATTCTCTATATTTTCATGGCACGCTGAGCGACTTATACGATTATATATTATAAATACACTTAAAATCTGAACTAATGACATTTTTAACTAAGTTCGTCCCTAAAAATTCATGTAAACAACTGATTTATTAGCCAGCTAGATTTTTGTATTACTTATTGTATATTAAAAAGCGGTTCATTATGATTCAAAGCCTAGCAAATGATAAAACCGCCCCGCATTACATGATTTATTAATGTTTAATGGATTTAAAGCAACTAAAAATACTTTCATAAAAAAATATAACGGAGAGATTAGCTGATGGACTTCTAATATTTTTATTTGCCTTAACTAGGGGTAGTCAAGGACAGTAAGTGGTAGGTTTCCATTATTTATTAATTATTTTATAAAAGCTTTTGGCCAGTTACCTTTACTTCAACTTACTGCATTAAATTAAAATTTATATAATTAACAGCACATTTAGACTCAAGACCTCAACTAGGAGAGCCTCCTTTACCTTTGAAATTTTTATCCTTAAGTATTTCGAATTTCTATTAGTCAAAGAAGTCCCCAGACTTCTCTTTTTTTTTGGGACTAATCTCTCCCACATGCCCACTACTGTAACTCCTGTACACCATCAACAACAGGAGTAACCCACGAACACATCGAGTAATAACTCTCTGGAAGTCCCAGGACAAGTTGAACTGTTTTGGGACTCGCAACGAAATGTCGTTACCCTGTCTCTAGAGATTTATGGATATTTTTATTTACGCCTAAATATTATAAATAATAGGTTTATAAATATAGCCCGCGGCTCAGTCTGCGAGTATGTCGGTTTTCGCAATAAAAAAAAATTGCCTGTATTTTTTCTTTCCATTGGTGAAAGCATTTTTTAAATCGGTTTAGTGGTTTTTGTCGTGAAAGCGTAACAAACAAACAGACTTTAACATTTATAATTTAAGTGCAGAAGTATCTATAATATTGATTATCTTAATAAGGCCAGCATAGTGTAATAAAGTAATGCCCTAAGAATGTATAAAGTAACAAATTCCATATATTCTTATTGTTAATATACCAGCTTCCTTACTAGTGCTGTTCGAACGCCAAGTGTTAACGCGTCCCAAATACAAATAGAATGCACTTTTGTTCTTTTCGAATTGACTACACAGATACTGCTGTATTCTCTCTGTTGTACATACCTATGTGTGTATTAGCCTTATTCCTGGATGAACTCGATGAACGGTGGGTTTGGATTAAATGAACATTTCCTGTTGCGACGGCTTTTGTTTATATTTTCGGCTTTGAACAGTAATTGCTTCGGAAATACTCGTATGTATTTAGTCATAAACTGATATTTCTCTTTAAATACAAATTCCAATAAAATCAATTTACACTCCTAGAGCTTTTTAAACGTTTCACAAAATACATTTAAATAAAAAGAATAGTTTTCTTTTTAAACATTTAACACAAATATCCCAATTATCATTACGACATACTTGGCATGTAAAAGAAAAAACTTTTAACCTACCTTCGCTTTCCTTGATATATATATCACTTACGGTCTCCGGCAGTGACAACGGCCTTGGGTATCTGATCGAATTGAAAGAGAATTTATAGGTATGTAATCCCTATTAATTACATTAATTCCTATTCTTTACTAATTTTCGCAAAAACGAAGCTAATTTAATGAAAAACATTTTCATGCGAACGAGGCATAAAAATATTATTCTCAGTCAAGTTAACCACTCGCAATCCAACCATCTTTTTATGTTATACAGTTTAAAGTTTTAATTTTTATATATGTACTAGCGGACCCGACAGACGTTGTCCTGTCAAATTTGACACTGCGATGGTAGCGCCGTCTGTCTGATCCAATGTAAAACATTCCAAAATCAACAACTACTAATAAATTAAAAATTAATGAAAAAAACATTGTCCAGCGGACAAAATTGTGAATCTAAACCATTCCCAGATCCCCTTGAACACACACAAAAAATTTCATCAAAATCGGTCCAGTCGTTTGAGAGAAGTTCAGTGACATACACACTCACAGAAGAATTATATATATAAAGATATATTTTTACGCTCTTGGAAGTTCACTCGAGCCATTACTGGGGTTTAAGGCGGGGCGGCTAAAACAAAACGTTGTGCCATAGTGTGCTTAAAATAAGTCGGACTCGGAAATAACCTTTATTCTCTAATCTACCTTACTTTGAGAAAGCTGTACTCAGTATTAGGCCGGCTCACAAATTACTGAGTATTTAGTATGGTGTGAGTACCTAGAAACTTGACAAAGACCGTTATCATCAGTAATGTTCAACAGTAATCAGAGAAATGGAGTACTGAAGTTTAACAGCGATGCCATTTAATGTGTTTAGCTGGAAGTATCATAACCATAAAATGGACATAAATGAACTTCTACTTGTGAAAGTGGTCAGGCAGTATTACCCCGGTTTGTTTGATCTATTTATGGTTTTACTTGCTGTTATCACAATTAACTCGTAGTATGGAAAATCGTATTGTCTGTGATTAATTCAAATTGGTTTGTTTGTTAATTGTGTGGTATTTTGAATTTTCAGAAGAACAAAAGATGACATAGGAAATTCATTTATCCTAAGGAGAGTACTCTTCGCGAAGGATAGAGAATTGATCGGTAAGGTCGATATAAATGGGAGTGAATCTGCGATCAAAAGCTAGTTTTTAAAGTAAATTTTATACGTATTTACTAATATTAAAAGCAATAATTTAATTTTCTTTTTAATGTTTTCAATTTCTTCTATCTTCCTATATATATCGTATATTTATTCTGGTTCTTTTGAAAACCAAAATAAATATG